TGGGATTTGTAGTCCTCTATACAGCGAATGCAGAATACCACCAGCTGACAAGGCATCCCTCCACTACCAGTATGCTTTACATTTCCTAAACCGATAAATACATTCACACTACTGTTACATGGATGGCAAAAGGGGCGGGGAGAGCGGGGGAAGAGGCAGAGCAGGAGGGGGGCCAAGTTGCTGCACCATGGGCCTCTGGGTTGTACTTGCCCCCTGGGCTAAAAGTTGCCAGTCAGCCCCTGGTAGGGACTGATGTGAATGTGCAACTATGTAAAGTGCTGCGTAAATTGTCGGTGCTATATAAATACCTGTAATAAAAAAATAAGTCCCACGGAGGAAGAGACCCAACACGAGGAACAATATGTGTAACTCCCTGAATAAAAGTATGAATCAAGGAATTAGAAGCCAGAAGACATTGAAAAAGGGCACATAAGGCAGATACCTGACCCTTAATGGTACTAAGAGCTAAACATTGGCCGGCCCCTGATTGAAGATAAATGTGCAATATAGAAAAAGCCCACAGAGGAAACTCCAAGGACTCACGACAACGAAAATAAATTTTCCGTGTACAGTGGTAAATTTTATGAGAAGATCTATGAGCGTTGAAAGTGACACTAGACTCAAGATTTAAATCTTAAAAATGCATTCATGTACCCTATTAACAAAAATGTATCTTATTTGTGTATCACTCGGCTGGAGATCCTCAAATCATCTCTGAATTGGTGCTGACACTGTCCTTCCTTCTGGAGGGTAGCTACTTTTGTTCCTCCATAGTTCCTGTGTCCTCCGCTCCAACTTTGTTCCCATGATAAACGATAATTTCAATACAAATTAGTAAACTAAATGTGAGATTGTAGTCCTTTTTAAATAGATTTTGACTGTTCTCCAATGGTTTGACAAATGAGGGTGAAGGGCAGGCCCAACCAGCAAGAACTTTATGGTAAAGAGGGATTCTAACTAATGGCGGGTAGAATCCCTGAATGTAAAAACACCCCCTATTAGCCTAGTGGTTTCCCTGATAGGTTGGGTCACTGGTGGATCCAAAGTGGGTATGGACTATTGCTTTACAAAAACTCTCCCAAATGGGAATACATTCAGTAAGTGCTCTGGGGGATTTGAAGACCCATTGGGGTGCGTCCAATTCTCATAGAAAAATACTTTGAAGAAGTATGCAATGGTAAGGTATTTGCAGTTGTGCAAGCTCTGGAAAAACCCAAGGTTGGTGACAGTAGGATGATCCTCCAGATGCAGAGTAATACAGACTGCAACTCCTCAAGCATAATCTTGTCAGAGAGACCCTGAGGCAACCCAGAATAAAATGTCTGAAATGGTCATTGCGACCGATGGCCTGGCTGTCCCTAGAGCCCAGCCAGATCAGCAATAGGCGCTGCAGGGGAAGGTACTTATAATGGCTACGACTAAGGCCTAGTTTGGGGGGCTTAAACACGTTAGCATTTGTTTGCTGCTTTTATACCTTTTTGCAAATAAAGTACTGAATGAACAGACCCCCCTTATGTGTGCCGGTTTTTACCTATTGGAGGGTACTTATAACCTCTGTCGTCAGAAATAGTGACAAACTGGGTAAATTTGCCCACAAAGTTTTTGGTGACTGTAGTAGAGGTTCACGATGATAAGGCAGGGGACTCTGCCTCACCTGAAGGAGTTAAGGTGGACTCAGATGATGTTGTAAACCCTAAAAGCATAATGAAATAGGAGTTCAGATTGCAGTGATTTCAAAACCCAGTGCCCGATGGTCATTCCAGGCTAGTCATGTAATGTCCACCAAAAGAGGTCCTGCCGTTGCACTCCAAAGGGCCAGCTGAGAACAGGCTAGGACAGATAGCTGCAATCGTAAAGACCTCTAGCAGTGATAAAGAAACGTCTTGATTGAAGGCCAGCACTGGGTGAAAAAAAAATACTAGGAAAAAATTAGGTTAGACTTTTAACAGGAAAGCTGAAGAAAAGATGTCCATTCTCCAAAGGACACTAGCAAAAATTGAGAGATGCTGGTAGTATAAGCGAATATCCTGGATTACAATTTTTTTCTCCAATGTCCAATACTTCTGCAGGGGGCAGTAGAACCCTCAATAGATGAGAAAGAAAAAACATTTGAAATCCTTTTTTCCAGCACCTGGACTTAATTTACAGACCTATATAATACAGCATCATTTTTTAGCTTTGTGGGCAGAGATTTGAAGTAAATATGTGAAAGACCAGACACGTATGTATTTAATAATGCAATAATGCAGAATTGATAATATGTATTCTGTATTCTGTATACTGTTCTAGTTTTTGACAATTATACTATGTAATTGATAATGAGAATAGTGGACAACCATTATCATTAATTGATTAGTTGGTTGCAGTCCTAAATAATTCTACCTGCCAAAGTGCAGGGAAGTTCCCAGTTTCTGTCCTGCATATAAAACATGGTATGACAGTAAACTATACATTTAAAAAAAAAAAAAAAAACCTGGTCCTGAATACTATTAAAACTTACTATATTATTATGATTGAGGTAATGGGGGTGATTTACTAACCTAACCACACAGCAAAACATATTTATCAACCAAAAAGTCTCTATAAGCATATTTCCACTAATGCCATATATGGAAAAATCATGCACATGATGCATATATAATGCTGCTTCACAGTTTAGACAAAAATGGTTAGCTCATGCATTTACATTCCTGCATTCATCAACGCAAGCAACACAACATAGAGCTAATTTACACGACATCACCTTGCAATTCATGCAGGGCTTTGCACAACACACCTGCTGGGTGTGTACACACTACAAAGGTGTTTAGATTCCACCAATAGATCATGCTGGGAGGGAACACACTACAGAGGTGTATACTTGTTCGTGGCGTGTTTATAAGGTTAGTAAATCAACCCCAATGTGTGTACCCAGAAGGCAGGGATGGAGAGTGGGTGGACATTTCTTATAAAACGTTTTGTTTGCAAGTCAGGCTGTGGTGCAGTGAAAGTACGCAGTAAAAGCTTACAGATCAATTTGAGTAATATGCTCATAAAAGGCTTCATGTACTATGATTGGAAGGTGCATGAAAAATGTGTAGGGTTCTAGGAGTGAATGGCAAAAATGTGATTAAGGGTAAGGGGGAAATAGACCATTTTGTGTACCTATAACTAGAGTCCATTTAACTATGTTTTCACCCAAGACGCACGCGATTCCTTCTCCCTTAACCATTTGTTCTGGAAAAAAAAATATATTTCTAATTTTCTAACCATTAACCTTTTTTTTTTTTAGTTTTCATTCATATTGTTCAGCAATTTACCTAATTTTGCTTTAAAAATTTGGAAAAGGAAACAAAATTAGATTTTTGTACTCCATATGAAATCATTTTATTGGAGGCCATTAAGTGACACAGATATTTCTTCAGGTTATAGCGTGACCTACAGGAGGATTGGACACTGGCAAACAAAAACTGTAGGCCAGTCTAGGATAATCCCTACTACCACCACCACCAGCATGCCTTGGTTTCATTGCAAGCAGTACAGAGAGCCTAATCATAAACATAGGGGCTTATGGACTCACAATGGACTCCAAGAAATTGATTGTATAATGCTTACAAAAATCCTATTTTCTTTCTTATTGGTTGAGGGATACAGGAAGTCTTTCACCTATGGGATGTCCTAAAGCAGTCAAACTAGCAAACAGCTGCTGACAGACTCATAAAACAACCACAAAACTGGAGGACTAACTGCAGCTCTAAGAGCCTGAAGCTGGTATTAGATCAGGCCTCAATATCCACCTGGCAGAAGTCTGAACTTGCAAACAAAAAAAAAGGGGTATAAAAGGCATTTGGGGGAGCAAACATGTTGTCAGGGTGTTTCCAATCTCCGTAGAAGAAGACTAGAAACAGCATGTGAAGCACTGGAAGAGTCTTTGAGGCTTAAAAGGAGAACTATGAGGTGAGTGAAAATCACTCAGCCTCATAGTTGGAGCCAACGCGTGACAATGAAACTGTCACACATTGGCTCAATAGATCGGGAAGTGAGCGAACACATACCGTCGCTCGCTCACTTCTCGATCCTGTACCTGCAGAGAGCCGTGACTGTCACTCACGGCTCCCTGCAGGGATTCCCCCCACCTCCGCTGTCCGATCCTCCAGCACTGAATGGCGGAACTGACGGAGGGGGCGGGTACAGCTGGCTCTGCCTCTAGATAGGCAGAGCCAGCTGTCAATCACGCAGCTGGGTGGATCTTGACAGTAATGTTGGGATCTGTCCCGGCTGCGGCGGTCTCAGTATATCGCGAGCTGTAGCTAGTTTGTGTCCTCCTGTGACCCTGGGGAGAACTATGGGGAAAAGCCCTGACCTCATAGTTCTCCATAAGGGTCTCTAAAGAACCCAGGACTAAGGAAGGCATGAAAGAGGCACTGCATCAATAGGTCTTTCAATTTCAGAATACTGGCAGCAGACTGCGACTCCTCTGAGGTAAGTTTGTCTGCTAAGGAAGGCAGCACTATAACCTGAAGGTAAAGACTTCCCTCAGTGGATGAGAAAGTAAATAAACTTTGCAATGCTTTGTACCAGAATCATAATTTTAAACATGACAAAGTATAGAATATCATTTATACTTTTTTTTTATTTACAGTGACAACCCTTTTAACTAGCACTGATCAAAAGTTTTTTTTAAAAAGTACTTTTTTAGTTTTGTTACATTTATTGTCTATGAATTATATAAAAAATAAAATAATTTTTGCAAGACAAAATCACTGAAAAAAAGGCTTGTTTGTTTAAAAAGTTATATATGTGTTACTTTGTTATCTAAAATAATGATAAAGTTACTGGCCAAGAAACAGACCCATAGTAGAAATGTAAAAGTGCTCTGTTCCACACGGGGGTATAGAGGTGTGAGAACTGAAGTGGTTAATCATAATCTAGATAGTAATTTGTGCAAACTATTAGCAATGAGTTTAACTGAAGGCTGGCCTGTCAAACAGGGTGCACTCTTGTTTTAAAATTAGAACCATTGATGTTCTTACAAACAAAACAAGATTAGGGCTGAAACAACTAATCGACAAAGTCAATAATAATAGATAATGAAAATTGTAACGATTTCTATTAATTTGTTGGTCTGTCAATTAGTTTGGCTTCTTGCAGCTCCTCACATCCTCCCCCTCACTCATGTGCGTATCATTGACAGGCCGCCCTGTCCCAGGGAAAAGTGTTGAGGAGTCTCGGCGAACGCCTAGCTGAGCGCGGACTGACTGTTCAGGCACTGCCCGAGGATCCACAGCCTCCCCCATGTCTCAGCCTCCTTTCCAGGCTGCTCATAGTGGACTGTGGACGGGCTGAATAGCGATGTACAACCGGTGTAAATAGTGTGTATTATGTGTTGTATGTGTGTACTGTGTGTGTATTATGTGTTGGATGTGTACTGTGTGTGCATTGTGAGTGGAGTCAGTAAAGTAACAATCAGGGGGTGGGGGGGACACAAGTTGGTGTAGCTGCCCCGGGCACATAGATGGGGAGAGGGGGGGTGCCAGTTGGGCAGCGAACACATTTAAGCCTGTAAAACCCATGACCCACTGCGCGCAGACTAGAAAAAGATGGTAACCGCATAAATTTATAACCAGCCTTTGTAGCAGGGTGCACATGGGAAGGCTTACAACAATACAAAACACAAAGGTCCGCAGCACACCTGCCAGCTAGCCTGCAACAAAACAAATTACCCTGTCAACAGTATGCGTTAAAAAACAGAGCCACGCGCAGCAAAGGGGACTGTCTAGCACTATCCTCTCCCGCGCTTAGCTAGTTGAGAGCTGAGCATGGCGAGATAAAACATTTTTTTTTATCTCTAGCCAATCAACTTGTACGTATGAATCCACGTGTCAGAATGCAGATTCAGATAGATGAAAGTAGTCACTCGCACTCCATGATATTAAAGTCAATGCTGTTTATTGACTGAGATAACACACATCTCCTTAGCTAAGTCAATGCTGTTTATCTCAGTCAATAAACAGCATTGACTTTAATATCATGGAGTGCGAGTGACTACTTTCATCTATCTACATTTTACGGAGGCATCCGTTGTCACTACCGCACCCCCTCAGTTGGATTTGGGTTTTTGTCCGTTCAGGAGTGCGATGGGACAGGAGGATTAAGAATGCAGATTCAAGCGTGCAGCCAAATCGAATTCCCCCAGAGAAAAGTGCCTGCTTGGTAATGTTTTGCCTCCTACATAAGTTCTTTCTGTGACATATGCCAGGGATGCGAGCTATGTAGAAAGAATTAATATGATAGGCCTAATAAACAAACATTTCATTAAATAATTAATATTTCATTAAATCAATATTCAAGTATTATTTAATAACGAATATTTATGAATAATTATCTATATTAGGGATGCACCAATACCGATACCAGTAAATAAGTATGCTCCAATACTCACGACTGATACTGTGAGGTAATTGGAGTCAACTTCCTGGCCAATCAGGAAGCCGCGTTGCAGGTAATGACTTGCCGCCCGGCTTCCTGATTGGCTGGGAAGCCAGCTCCATGCTGTTTGACTGGCTCAATCAATCAGCATCGATTCGGCCAAACAGCATGAAGCCGGCTTCCCGGGCAATCTAAGAAACCGGGCAACATGTCAACCTGCCGCACGGCTTCTTGATTGCCTGGGAAGCCGGCTCCATGCTAGCGGAAGTACTGGTATTGGTACTCTATCGGCGAGTACCGAAATATAAATACATCGGTACTCATACTCTATACCGGAAAAAACGGTATTGGTGCATTCCTAAAATAATATTAAATATTTAATTAAAAAAATGCATTCTTTTTTATCCGATTAAATGTCAAAAATAATCAGCCAACTAACTGATTATGGAAATAATGGTTTGTTGCAGCCCTAAACAAGAATCATGATTTTGAAATTGGTACTCTACAGCTTCCCCATAAACAAAGGGCTTTTTTCATACACCAGCTGTCTGTCCATGGATGCTGCCTCTGAATTGTAGCACCCAGACACTTCTGCCTTGTTCACTGGACACAGATCTTGTTCACTCCACCTAAAATAAACCAAAGACAGAGATTTTCACTGTTGTGGGTTTTTACATAAAACTTTTATGATCAATTCAACGACTGCAAGAGTTTAACCCTTTTGCAGCCAAAACTGTTCTTTCACACATGGTAAAATTCACATTTTAGGCCTGAAGATTACTTAAACCCCCCAGAATTCTACATTTTCTGAAAGCAGAGATCCCATAGAATAAAATGGTCACAGCTGCAATTTTTTGTCACACAATATTAGCGCAGCTGTTTATCCATGCATACATTTTCAGTAAAAACAAAACAACAACTTTTAAATTAAGTTAGTGCACATAAACACAATAGAATACCTGGGTATAAAAGATGAGGTTGCGCCGAGTAGATACCAAACATGTTAAGCTTAAAAATTGTGTGTACCCATAACAAGGGGAAAAAAACAGCGCGCAAAAATTGTCAATAGGTGACGCTTTAAAAGCTTTTACAGGTCATCAATTTAGGGCCTGTAAATAATGGCTATAGAATTGCTCTCACTCTGGTGCAAGTGTCATTTTCTTACATAGGGGCACCTTTTTTTTCTCTCCCCCCCCCCCCCCCATTTTTTCTTTTTTTTTGTTAACTTTATTACCATCACACAGGGGGCTCACAAGTTCCCTGTAATACCACATTAGTGGTGACTGGTTCTCTTTAAGCAGGCATTAGTGGTCTCAGACCCCTAATGTCACCTCTGTACTCCGATAAAGCTGATCAAGCACTGATCATGCTTGATTAGCTTCATCCCCGGCCACATTGGGCATTGAATGACGGCTCTGGAAGTGATACATGGTGGGGTAGTCCGGCAGGGGAGGGTGTGGGCGGTACCTTTAGTGGCCCGTGGAAGTGATTGGGCAGCCAAAATTTCTTCCAGTCGGCTTTACACGAGTAAGCATACTTCTGTCTGCTATAGTAACCAGGAGTCTGCGGCTGCCACCTCTGCAAAGTGTTTGGTGGTGGCAGCAGAAAGGCTAAAGGAAATCTCATCTCATTAGAGAAACACAGAGACTTTCATTGCTGACCTCTCCTAAAATGATAGTTGCCTTGCTATCACGCTGACCATCTTGCTTTAAGATTTTGAGTCACTGACCTGGAACAAGTAAGGATGTATGACTTTTCTTACTCTCTTGATCCTGCATAATTGTTCCTGGTCATTGACTCAAAGTACTGAAACCAATGGGTCAGTATAAGCCAGACTGCTAGCATTTTTAGAAGAGAGTCAGCAGTGGCAGCCCCCATATGTCTCTCATGATAGGTAAGTACTTACCTTTGAGCACAATATATGGAGGAGTCTGTAGCTTCAGCCCAGGCTGCATGTTCTACTAAGAGAGAACCTAGAAGGACACAAAACAGTAAGTTTAGTCACCTAAGAGCCACATCAAATAACATAGTCTATGTAATGTGGTATTACACCTCTCAGTCAGTCATTCTAGTGTGCACTAGAGCCTTATTCACAGGATTGTAAGCCACAAGCTAGACAAATATACATATAACCGTTTTTCCAATTATCACTGCTGGTGAAAGATAAATGCTTATATTATCTCCTTCTTGCTCTGCATTCATTAAGCTTCAGTGAGAAACAAATGTTACAATTTGTTTGAATTAAGACACATGCTGGCAGTGTTGGATCTTTATTTGTGGCGGCCGCTAGGTGCTGTCCCCCCCCCCCAAAAAGGTATAAGGCCAGCAGGCATCTTATCAGAAGCAGAGTGTGGCAGCTTGCACACGTGCTGCATCTATTATTTCTAATCCACACTGACAGCTCCTTTCCAAGTGCTCAGTAATGTGGGAGCTACTGATGCCAGGAGGGTGCAAAAAGCAGCAGCCAATGCTCTTTCTGCACGGAGGGCCGGTTCACACCACAAGCAGTGCGTTCCAGAGCGGTTAGCCTCTGGAACACACTGTATTGCAACCCAGCCGGCTCCCTGCGTTCAGGGGTGGGAGGTGCATTAAAGTCAATGGCACCGCAGCCACGCCCCGCGCCCACAGTGCAATCGCCTGGCACTTTAGTGCCTGCTTTCCGGTCCAGTGCGATCTGCAAAAATGCTGAAAGCACTTTTTTTTTACAGATTGCACTGGACCGGAACGCAGGCACTGATGTAAAATGGATGCACTGCACAGTATCTGTATATGTCTATCAGCATAATTTGTAGCATTTTCTGCATTCATGTCATATAGTCGAGTGAAAAAGAATGTACACCATCTTTGAAATGTTATGGATTTAAGTATCAGGACATAATAAAAAATCATCTGGTCCTTGGCAGGTCTTAACATTTGGTAGATACAACACATGACATGTTACATCGTGTCATTATTTATATTACAAACAAACCCAAAATGGAGAATCCATGTGTGAAAAACTAAGTACATCCTATGATTCAATAGCTTGTAGAAACACCTTCAACAGCAATAACTTGAAGTAATTGTTTCTGTATGACTATCAGTGTCTCACATCGTTCTGGAGGAATTTGGCCCGTTCTGTTTTACATTGCTTCAGTTTAGTGAGGTTTGCGGGCATTTGTTTATGTCAGGTTGAGGTCTAGACTTTGACTGGGTCATTGCAACACATTGTTGCTTTTCTTTTTCAGCCATTCAGTTGTAGATTCGATGATGTGCTTGGGATCATTGTTCTAACCTAATTTGACTCTAGAATACTTTGGTATACAAAAGGAGTTCATGGTTGACTCAATGACTACAAGGTTCCCAGGTCCTGTGTGAAAACATGCCCAAGTCAGCACCCCTCCACCACTGTGCTTGTAGAGGGTGTTTGTGCCAATATGCTGTGTTTGGTTTTTGCCTCGTGGCACTGTGCATTATGGCCAAACATCTCCACTTTGGTCTCGTCTGTCCAAAGGACAATGTTCCAGAAGTCTAGTGGTTTGTTCAGATGAAACTTTGCAAACCTAAGCCACACTGCCATGTACTTTTTAGAGAGAAGGGGATCTTCCTGGCAACCATTCCAAACAAACCATACTTGTTCAGTCTTTTTCTAATAGTACAGTCATGAACTTTAACATTTAACAATGCTGAGGCCTGTAGAGTCGGAGATGTAACTCTGTAATTGTATTTTCTCTGAGCATTGCATAGTCTGACCTTGGGGTGAATTTGCTGGGACGTCCACTCCTGGGAAGACTGGAAACTGTCTTGAATGTTTTCCACTTGTGAATAATCTTCCTTACAGTAGAATGATGGATTTTAAATTGTTTGGAAATGGCGTTATAACTCTGATGGGCAGCAACAATTGCTTCTCTAAGATCATTGTGGATGTCTTGCCTCCTTGGCAGTGTGCACACACCTGAATGCTCCAGACCAGAAAACTGCTAAAACTTCAGCTTTTAGGGCTAGTTCACACCAGCCACAGTGCGTTGCGGCCCGATTCTAGCTGGAACGCACTGGATCGCATTGCGGCCGGCTCACTTTTTTGTGCGGCTGGTGGCGGTGCATTGAAAAGTGAATGACACCGCAGCCACGCCCTCCAGCCGCAATACCATCGGCCGCACAGGAACGTGTGGCATATCAATGCCTGCGTTCCGGTCTGGTCAGAAAAAAATAGTTCTTGCAGCATTTTTTCTGATCGGACCACAGGCATTGATGCGCCACGCGTTCCCGTGCGGTCGATCGCATTCTGGCCAGAGGGCGTGGCTACGGTGCCATTGAGTTCAATGCAGCGCCACGCCCCCTCCTGCCCTACAACAAAGTGAATCGGGCCGGAACACACCGTGGCTGGTGTGAACTAGCACTTATAAAAAAGGTAGTCACACTTGCTGATGCTCCATTAATCAAGGGGATTTAATTAGCAGCACCTGGCTACTACTTAACCTCTTAACTCCTATGAAAGCAGGAAGGGTGTACTTAGGGTTTCACACAGAACTTCTCTATTTTGGCTTCATGTTTGTAAAATAAATAAATGACACGGTGTTGTACTGTATGTCATGTGCTGTTGTTCATCTAATGTTGTATCTCCCTAATTTTAAGACCTGCTAAGGACCAGATAATATTTATTATGTCTGGATACTTAAAAGCCAAAGAATTCAAAGAGGGTGTACTTTCGATTTCATGCAACTGTAGGTGTGATACGGACTTTATCATTCATAAGCAAATTGAAAGATATAGATTGGCAAAACGCAATGACCGGAGAATGAGTGAGAGGTATATTTTAAGTGGTGTGATTTTTAAAAACATTTTACTACTGATTAATAAACTGTAGGTAACCCCTTTCTTTGCATATGATGCTAATACTACTACTACTATGTAGGGGCTAATTGTGGTAACAATGTTATTTACATGCTTACAATCAGAGGATGTCCTGTCTGCTGTTTAATACATAGCATACGGATTGACTTCAGCAGATTGATTTCTGGATTTTACATCAGGTTATACACCTGCAGTATTCTCTATTTGTCTATTGCATTTATCCTATGTCACGCCCACTGGTTGTGGGGAGGCGGCTACGCCTTTGACATGATGTGCATCCCATATCACAATCCTAATACAGTTTTGGGGCATGCATACACTATATTGCCAAAAGTATTGGGACACAACCTCCAAATCATTGGATTCGGGTGTTCCAATCACCTCCATGGTCACAGGTGTATAAAATCAAGCACCTAGGCATGCAGACTGCTTCTACAAACATTTGTGAAAGAATCGGTCACTCTCAGAAGCTCAGTGAATTCAAGCGTTTTACCGTGATAGGTTGCCACCTGTGCAATAAGTCCATCTGAGAAATTTCTTGGTTACTAAATATTTCACGGTCAACTGTTAGTGGTATTATAACAAAGTGGAAGCAACTGGGAGCAACAACAACAACAACAACAACTCGGCCACGACTTCTTTTGGACATTTCTGCGATAAAGCGATGCCATCTGCAGGTCATGCCAGCACCCATCTATCTTATGGGATGCCAGCCAGGAGTGATGTGGATTACACATTACTTACATGAGACAGGTCCTATACATAGTTGGATTTGGTAATTTGTAGTTCAGGTGCTCAAATACACCTCAATTGGGTAATCCTAGTTTTATAGTCATTTTTATACCATAGGCCAGGGGTGCCCACAATTTTTGGGTTAAGATCTACTTTTCAAATGATGAGCTACATGAGATCTACCAACAACAAAAAAACTCCCTCGCTCTCTCTCTCCTGGCTGTCTCTCCTTGTTCCTTCTCCTGGCTGCCTTTTCTCTCTTTCCTAGCTATCTTTCCCCGTTTTCTCTCCTGGCCTTCTCTCTCCGCTCTCTCTCTCCGCTCTCTCTTTCCTGGCTGTCTCTCCTCGCTCTCTCTTTCCTGGCTGTCTTTCCTCTCTCTCCTGGCTCACCTTGCTGTATTTTGCAAACAGTGTAGTGCAACAAGCTGTGTAAACTAATATTCTTTGATGTAATACATAGAAGTTCAACCACAAGTATCCACCAGAAAGGAGTCAGGGAGCTCGGCTCAGCAAACTCAGGCTAATAGGTAATCATGTGTGCACAGCTAAATAAATATACCAAAAGGGGCCACCATTCACACCCTTCGTGATCTACCAGCATCAGCTTTGAGAGCTACTGGTAGATCACGATCTACCTAACGGGCACCCCTGCCATAGGCTTATCCTGTACACCAACTACCCTGGACACGGTTCTGTGGAACTGGTGACATAAATACCAATGTAGATCTTGGCCAGACTGTAGGCAAAGTCTCGTGCAGCAAGTTCCATAAAGCTGCTTCCTTTTGTTCCTGCCAGTTGAGTGAAGCTTTTTAGATGCTGCAGAGCGAGCAGTAACTTTGAGGTAGGCTGTGACAACTCCGGTACATTGGATGAGGCTTCCAGCTTCTCCTGCACAACAAAACACAAGTTCTGTTGGTTAGGGCATTCATATAAAGGAAATGCTTCTATAAATTGTCCCTTTGTGAACTCATTAGAACTATCTGGAGACAATACTATACAATATTCATTATGCTTTCCAATGAACCAAGCTGTATTAAGTGCTGCTTTGTTTTTACACTTTGTGTGTGCAGTACAGGCAAAATACAACCATAATATGCAGATCAACCTGGGCCTTACCTGAACAGCTGAGAAGAAGCCACCGAGTACTTGCCCCTGACTCTTGATTACTGAACGAAGAACATCTAATGATAGGATGTTAGTTGTTCCTTCCCAAATTGTCAGCACCTGTTACAGGGTATGACAAAAAGAAGAATAAAAACTTCTGCCATTTGTGTATATTGTATGTACTATCTCTCCAAGTTTTTTACTTGCGCATCTCTCAGCATAGCTGGTAAACCAGTGTCCTCCATGTATCCTTGTCCTCCAAAGCATTCAAGTCCTTCTGATATTACTGCAACAGCCTGGAGTGGAGACATACATGCATGAGAAGATATGCGTGTCACAAAATATGTAATGAAGGATAGATAGGCAGACAGATAGAGTACATATACCTGTTTTCCAGTGTATAGTTTGGCAACAGGAGTGAGCAGCCGGAGGAGATGTTGGTCCTGCTCTGTTGCCATGTTTGTTTCTTCCAATCCTAACAAGCGTGCAACTTCCATTAACAGAAGAAATGCTCCACGTGTTTCTACCTAGAACATACATGTACATCATTCTTATGTAGTTTAATAAAGATGAGCATCAGGACAATGTGGAAAACAATAGATTTTTTATATTCCCTTCAAGACCATTTATTCTTTACCCTCAGAAATATCAACTTGGGACAATCCTTAAGAGTATAGATTGTTTTCTGCTCTATCTTTGGCTGATTGGAGTGAAATGTTCTCATGTCTATGAGCATTGTAAAGACAGCCAATCACGTTTTATAACCAATTGATATATCAGTGGCTATGTCTATTTTCAACCTGTATACTACCTGTGACCTGTGGCTATTTCCTCCGTTCTGGAGTATCTAAGCTTGTAAACATTATGATGTATGTAATTCAACACTTACCCTGGGTTATGTTGACCCGGTTGTTGTGTATGTTTGATGGTATTGATTGTATTGTATGTCTATGACATTGAAAACCTCAATAAAAAGCATCTTTAAAGTGGCATTAAACCCTCAGATTTTTAACATAAACCAATACTGTAATCCATGGTTGTTTCCCTTCTCTTTGCTGCTTTTCCTTTTACATCCTCATATCTTCTTATGCTGGGGGAGAACTTCCCTTTGCAGCTGAGTGCCTCTTCTTGTAGTGCTGGCTCAGGTTGTGAACCTGCACACAGACACCATGTATCCATTTCAGAGACAAGGCAGTCTGCTGCAAAACAGAAGTTCTGCCCAGCATGAGAAGAGATACGGATTTAAAAAGAAGAGCAGCAAAGAGAAGGGAAACAACCATGGATTACAGTAAGGCACACATTACAGTATTGTTTTATGTTAAAAAATCTGAGGGTTTAATGTCACTTTAAGAAGAAAAAAAAAAAAGGACAGCCAATCACAACTCAAACTGTTAGAACTGTATGCCATCAAACTTATAGAAAAAAGTGACATGAAGAAGTCTGACGCAGTTGGTGCACTGCCTTAACTGGCATACTGAGAAGCTAGATGGCCAGGCAATTAACAAAGCAGTAACTGTCAGACCTAAGCAGACCATTCACCTCATCGCAGGCTGAAGAGTTACACATTCATTGCGCATTGTCAACTGCCTTTATTGACGGACAAGCAAAATGCTCAATTTTTGATCTATGAAAAAGGGTAATGACTCTTAAAGCATATCGGGATCTAAAACACCTAATGTGTCAGCATCTCTCAGTATTTACTGGAAAACAAGAGGGAAAAAAAACCGCACACATGCTCAAAATATGTTTTTAGCAATTTAGCCAACCTCCACCATTTTCCATCCTTCTTGTCCAGTGAAAATAGGATTTCTGCACTCACCATAAAATCCTTTTCTTGGAGTCCCTTTAGGTACACAGTAAATTAATTCACCTTTAGGTTATACTTCTGCCTACAGGTGGATTGAACACTGACAAACAAAAAATTGTAGACCAGGGTAGGATAACCCACCCTACTACCAGACCAGCATGCCTCAGTTTTGTAGCAAGCAGTATCAAGAGCATGATCATAAACACAGATGGGTGGGATCTGTGTCCCTCAATGAACTCCAAAAACAACATTTTACAGTGAATATATTGCAATTATGACTTAGTCTGAACCATGGGTATATGTTGCCATCTCCAGAGGGTTAGACACTGGACAAAAAAATAAAAAATTCTTAAGACAGAAAGTAGGGAGTGGATTACAGGAAACAGAGGGAAGGACCTGTGTCCTGTACTCCAAGATAAGAAATTTACACCCAAGTCACAATTCCTTTCATCTTAAATCGTACAGCACAGGACTGTAGTCTAAACGAGCTCCTGATTTTAAAGAGGGACTCTGATGTGAAGGGGAAAACCCCCATTTGTGTGTGTTTTTGTACATAGGGACCCCTTAAAATCCATGCCAGACTCCTATCTGAGATAAGTGTCTGCTATGGTTTTTGGATAGGTCACATGTATTTACACTGGCCTAAACCTTGGGATGTCCTAAAGTAATACAATTCGGGGTGGGCAGCACAGCAAACAAGATACAAACAGCTCCCCAGAACAAGGAAATAATTCAAACATTTACAGTACGGCTTGCAGCACCTTTCAGCCAAAACAAGTCAGAGGTGGCTTGAACATCCCCCTGGTAAAACCTAGCAAATGTATGAACAGAAGACCAAGTGTTGGCCGTGCAAATCTGGAAAACAGCGGCCTGGTGCTAAAAGGCCAAGGAAACAAGAAAAGACTTGGTACAGTTAGCCTTACCTGGAAAGGGGGGAACCTAATTCTTCAAACTATAAGCTCTGGAGTTCATCTGCCTAATCCACCTAGCAATGGTGAAATGAGAGACTGGAAGACTCTTATGGGAGCCTTTAAGAGGAGATTGTCCAAATACCCCACAATATAGACACCCTGGGTACGTAGAGAAGCAAAGACTGGGGATAACACCTTGTTAAAAAAAAAAAAAACACTGAGCCTGCACAGACCATTCACTCCGAAACTTCCAAGATGGCGCAGGCATGCACAGTGTAGTCCCATGGGAATGACCCAGTGTCTGCACAGTACACAAGGCCCGCCCCCTGCTGAGAAAAGGAGCCACAAGTTCCCACAGTATATTGGGACACCACAAGCTGCTAGCCTTAAAGCAGGGAAAAGTATTGCCGCCTGTCCTCAGTCTGGCAGTGCCTCCACACACCTAGTCGCATAAGAACACCCACAGGTGACATGGCACATGTCCCCATAGTGAAGGCGGTCTGAGAGACCACACTTGCCCCACTGATACTCCGAGGGCAAGAATACCACAGCACCCCAGGTACAAAGATAGACTGACGTACCAATCTAGCTGCAGCCTGACTCCAAAGGAATAGGAGGGCGACCACCTTCCCCCCCGGCTTTGCCCATCAACCATGGGGATACCTCGTGAAGGGTTTCAGGTACAGGTCTCCACTGAGGGATGATCACCGCCCCCCTGTTTAGCTCCCTGCGGCTAACACATGCTGCACGTCAGTGTCAAGGTGAGCGATGAACGCAAGGTCCTTTGCCCCAAACAAAAGATCGGCCCTGAATCTTTAGGTGGCAGGGTCCAGGTAAAAATCCTCATAGGAGGTCAAATCCCCTCTTAGGAGAGAGGCAAGGTCTGTCACCTAGTACACTCGTAAAAAACTGAGGCTTTCTAGTAAGTAGGAGGGGTTATATGGGCTATCCTAACAACTTTTTTTGGCAGTATCCAATCATTTGAAGGTGGCACACATGTAACTACAGCCCTGTGTCCTCTACTGTACAACTAAGATATCCTATTTTTTTTATATTGTCCTTTGGGTGGGGACAGGAAGTCATCCACCTTCAGGATGCCAACTGAGTCCAACTGAGGGCTGGGTAATACAGCAGACAACTGCTAACAAGCCTAACTGAACAACAGAAAATTGGGCACTGCCTGCAGCTCAAAGAACAGCTTAAAAAGGACCTTACTTTTGAACCTGGCATTAGGTAAGATCTCAAAATCCACCTGGTAGATCTTAGAGAACATGGGAAAAAGGGAACCGATGGCAGGTTTACAAATCTGGGAAACAGCTGCTTGATGTGGAAAAGAACAAGAAGCACTTACAGATCTAGTAGTGTGCCTTGCCTGAAAAGGGTGGAACCCGATCCTTGAGACCATAACCATTGAATAATGGTCTGTCTGGGCCAGCTAGAGATGGTGGAACAAGAAGCTGGTGCAACCTTATGGGGGACATGTCCTTTAATGAATGCAGAGAAAAGGATTCTACGGTGAGTGCAAAAATCCTGTTTTCTCTTCTGATCTTTCTTCATTCAACGGAAGGGACGTCCCAAAGCAGTAAGGACGAGGGGTGAGCAAACAACAGAAAGGAACCTACGCACCACACGGCCACTTGTAAAAGTTGCTGACCAAAAAAAAAAAAAAAATC